CCAAATTTATGTGACCCTAGAATTTCTAACAATCTCCAAACTGGTATATACTTTAGCAAATGGTATCTGAACTGATACCAAGTCAATAGAGAGGGAAAACAGACTGGGGAAAGGGTATAAGGGCACTGCCATCTCCTGCACATGCCCTAGTCTCCATTAGTACTCACTTCCATTGGTTGCACCTCAAAAATTGTTAACAGGCCCCTCCCTGGAGGCACAAGGGGTTAAAGCGAGGCACTATGAAGCTAGCCGCAGCCTCTATAGCCCAAGTGCCATCCTCTCAAGGAGCTGACTCACAGGCGCAGCACAACTCTCCTGACCCACCCACTGCTCTCCTCAGCAGTAAAGTTGTTTTGGTCAGTCTGCCTGTTCTGTCCCCCACTCTGTCTCTGGTGAATCCTCTCACTCCCTACCACACACCTCTGGCCTATACCCCAGTTCTTGTATGCATAAATAAATAAATCTTCAAAAAAAATTGTTAACATCCCCAAACCCTAATTAAACTACTAGGCCATCTCAGAGAAATAATTTTAAACATTTTCACAGGTCCATTTAATTTATCAGCCATTTCCCTTTGTTCCAAATTGTTCCATGTTCCGTTGGTTCTGGGAACATAAAAGGGATGAATTCAGGGGTGGCACAATGGGTTCAAGTACAATACTATAAAGCTATCCCCAGCTACAGCAGTGCAAGTTCGATCCCTGACCCTGGAGGTTACGCACATGGTGCAGCCGACCTCTCCTGTTTTGCCTACTGCTCCCCTCAACAGTATATTTCAGTCAATCAGCCTGTTCTCCTTCCTACTCTATCTCTGGTGATTCCTCTCAGCGCCCTCACCCTGCACCTCTCGCCTGTGCCCCAGTTCTTGTATGCATAAATAAATAAATCTAAAAAAAAAAAAAGGACGAAGATGAATTCACTAGGGAAAGATAAGGACTTTGTTCTCTTCTGTGGATACTGAGACATCTACCACAAAACTGCCAAGAGTGGGAGCACAGAAGCAACAGTACCCCCTAGTGGCAAGCAAACTCCAGACCCCTGAGTAAAAATAGCACTAAGCTTGGGAGTCGAGCCATTAAAATGAAAGCAGTGAAAAACATTGAATATTCTTAGACACCCAGTCAAGTGCTGTTAAATTAATAAGTACTCCAGGTGGTCTTTTTTCCCATTAAAGTGTCACTGTGTGACTAGTTTGAAAATGAAAAATGGCTGCTAGGCAATGCCTTATTCAAAGACAGATTTCAGCAAAGTGATTCTTAAATGTTTTATCGTTCTGCTTGTTTATGCAAGCCATCTATGCTAGCAGCATTGTATTAAACACTGTGATTTCTGCACTAATTTAAAGTGAGGTCATTAGATTAGTATTCACTGTTGGTATCAAGTCCTTCAGAAGAATGTGCTTTAAGATTTAAATAAAGACATATTCACACTCCCTTGTGAGACAGATGTCACCACCCTTTACAACACTGGGCAATCCCTTGTCTTGATGGCACTGATGACTGCAGATGGTGCAAATCAAGTTACCATCAGGAGGTGATGTTTTGTCATAATGATTCTCAATTGTGTCAGGTACTTGCTAAATTTAGAAGGCTTGTTTTATTTGGGTTTCTGTCATCTGGGTTTTTCAAGTTATCTGCAATGTTGTGGCAGTAGCCTGCATGTCCATGATACATGTCATTTGGCTTAAATTTGAATTAAGTCATACATCTGAGAAGGGTACAAAATGCAAATATTTTTATGGTTTTATAATGCACTACGTCAAGTCCTGCAGAGGAAAAGTGGACATGAAAGGATAAAGTCATTGATTTGATCTACACTAGAAACATATTCTTTCAGCATATAATATTTCAGCCTTGAAATAAATATCAGTTACTTTTAGACAATGTAAGTCTGTCCCATAACTTCAAACTCCAATTTCTTCAGCTACCTTTAAACATATATTTGGATTTCAGTTTCATTATTACATACTTCAAAAGTCAAACAGGAATTAAAAATGAGTGGTGGACCCTCCCTGGTGTTGCAACCTGCTAAAGCTTAGCACTATGAAGCTGCCTGCAGCCACCTCAGCATGAGTTCGATTCCTGGCCAGGGAGGTGAACCACATCACATGGCAGACCTCTCCTGACAGGCCCGCTGCTCCCCTCAGCAGTGTATTTCAGTGCATCTGCCTGTTCTGCTCACCCACTCTGTCTCTGATGAATCATCCACCCCCCACACCTCTGGCCTGTACCCCAGTTCTTGCGTGCATAAATAAATAAATCTTTTAAGAAAATGAGTGGTATAAAGAAGTGAAATCCTGAATGGCACAAATTCTTCTACTGTTTGTGAAAAAAATCTTAGTAGTAGTCTATGGAGAACAGTCACAAAAACATAGCAACAAATTTCTTAAAAAGTAGGAATTTTCCTGAAAATTGAAGAAATAAAATGAAACTCCTCCTTGAAGGTAGGGATTTTCCTGAAAGCAATAAAAGGTACCAATTTGTTTTTTCTTTAGTACAATTGTGTGCTCTAAAAGCAGAGTTTGGCTTCAAATCTTGAGCAAGTTGCTTAACCTGATGACCCTCTTGCTTCCTTTTCAGGAATCTGGAAATCATACCCTCCAACTCAAAAGTTTATTGTATTAAATGAATCCAAGTAAAACAATTAGCACTATGCCTGGAATATAGCAACCTTGGTGCAATAAATGTGAGCTGATACTGAAATAAATTAGAACAACGCAAATAATCAACTGTAGTTACTAATTGTGTAATTTAAGTTATAAAGTTATAATAAATTATCAGACCCAAGAAGAGTTGGGAGGATGGCATCAGAGAAGGTTCCCCTCATTTTTCTCAAGAGGAAATTCTAAAGTGCAAGAGAAGAACACTGGGTGTAGAGGATTCTGTGATTTGGGGCAAAACTAGAGCACCTCTTGGACATAACAAACCAACCCTGAACACGACAAAAGAGACATGGTAGAAATAAAACTGTATTCAACAAATACAGCATCTGTATTTGAACTTGAAACTCCAAGTCATAAAAGATCCCTGTAGCACCATCTGCTGGGAAAGTGGAAGTACTGCAAGCTTACAACAACAACCAACAAAAACCCAGCAAATTGTGTAGACAGAAATAATACAATTACCACACCTT